TGCAGCCTCTCTGGGAAGCTGCGGGCACTCAGTCTAGAGGCGGCCGCCGCGGAGGCCCGTGGACACCCACGCTCTGCACGGAGGGGCTGGGGTGCCCAGGGGGGCGCCTTCGGCAGCGCAGACGGCACTGGCCGGCACCCCGTCTCCAGCCCTGGACCCCAGCTTTGCCTCCCCCCATCCCTTCTGCTTCCATGGGGACCCTGTTCTGGCAGGAATGCAAGGGCAGGCTTTGGGGGATTCTGCGTGTTCAAGGGGGCCCTTTCCGAGCTGCCTTCTTAGGCCGTGGAGTGTAACTTCCTCTCTCAGGCCCAGAAGGCAGACAGGAAGTCCAGGGAGGTAATTTTAACCGAAAGTGTGTCGCTCTTTCCTCTGCTCGGGTCCGGTTTTTATAAATGCGATTCTTCGTGGGGCTCCTCGCCAACCTTCGTTGAGGACACTTCTGGCTGGCATGGAAGGTGCCCACTGCTCACGCCCCGCGGCAGCCACTCCCCGGAGCCCTGCACCCCAGCCTGGAAGCCGGGGCTCACACAGCACTCACTCCCGTGTGCACTGCCCCTGCCCCCAAGAAGGGCTCCAAGCCAGCCGGCTCCGTTGAGGACCGACTCCCTAATTCTGATGTCGGGTCACGATTCTTCACAATGAAAACAATCCAGGACAGTCCCTTCCTCGGGGCAGGGCGGGCCCCCTATTCACAGGTCTCCTCCTGATTGTGGGTCACCCCCTGACCGTGGGACCCCTGACTTTGGGTCCCCCTGACTGTGAGGTCTCTGCCCGTAGGTCCTCCTCTGACCTTTTGCCTCATGACTGCGGTCCGCCCCCCGAGCATGGGTTCCCCCTCGGACCATGGGTCACCCCAGAATGTGTGTCCCTTCTGACTGTGGGTACCCTCTGACATGGGTTCCCCGACCATGGGTCCCTGTCTGACTGTGGGTCCCCTGTCTGCGGCCGGTAGCCTCTCCCAGACCTGGGCCTCAAGATGCCCGTTACTGTACGTTCCTACTGGCCTTTGCTTGATGCTTTATCGTAGAAGGAAAATGATCCCCGAGTCTGTTCCTCCGTTCAATGTTGGATAAACAGCGGTCCTGAGTGGGTGGGGCTCCTGTCCTTCGAAGCCCACAGTGCAGGTCTCCCCCCGTTGGTCCCTGGACTGGTGCACGGAGCCCTGGGAGCCCGCCCCGCCACCATCTCATTCCCAGGCCAGGAGGGGACAAACCAAATCTGGATGGTGACATGAGCTCTCTTCTTTCCCAAACGGGCCGCTAAGACTTCCAGGAAGGGATTTTCTTTTTCAGATTTGGAGGTTTTGTGGAAAGATGAACAGAGAAGCCCATCAGTTAAAACACAAGGACAGGCCCGGATCTTGATCGCACCCACAGGGGTAAACGGGAAACTGGGCCGAAACCCTGAGACGCTGATCTACTCTGTGCAACGAGCCCTAGGCTGTGTGTGGCTGAGGGCAGCGCCCCAAGTCCGCAGCGAACTCGGGGGCCAGGCTCCCCAGCAGCCGCTGAGCGGATCGGGATGACCTGCGCCTTGGCCTGGAGCGCACAGCAGCCCTCGCGCCCGGCCTGCCCCGAGGAAGGATGCGTCCGTGGGGTCCACGGATGGCATCACTTTTAGGGGACAAGCAGCGGGAGCTTCCCAGTCTGGACACACCAGGCCGTCAATGCAGTCCTCGTGGTCAGGCCGGTTCTCGGCGACAGGAGACGGGGCCATGGCTCTGTGCCGACCGCCAGGCCTTGCTGGCCACTATGGCAGGGACATCCGTTCTGCTCAAGGCTCTACAGGTTATCCCCCACCTTGATTTTTAGGAAGTGATTTCTTTTAAGTAGCTTTTCTGCCCCCGAGACACTATGGCGTGGCTCTAAGTCCTCTCAGTTTTGCAGTCTGCAGCGAAATCAGCGACTTCTCTTCCTGGGCCGAAGGTGGCTGCCAACCTCCTTTGGGCCAGGTGGAGGCTGGGCTCCGTGAACCGCTGAGTCCCGGGCCTTGCGGGGTTGGGGCCGCTGAGGACAGGGTCCGACCTTCTCGGTGAAAAGGGATTTGCCAGATCTCTGTCCGCCGGGGCTGGCGATTCCTGAGCCTGAAACCCATCGCTCCCCCGGCCCCTCCCTGGCAGCCTCAGCCACGGGCCCTGTCGTCCCCGTCCCACCTCGGGGGTCGGCCCTTCTCTTTCTAAGGACTCCCCGGCCAGACTCGTCCTCCTCCCATGACCTCCTCCTCCTCCGGCCTCAGCCCAGCCAGCATCCAGCCTGCTGGGGGACGGAGACTCCGTTTCAATGCAGGGAGGCCGAGGTCTGAGAGCTCGTGCTTACGGGTGCTGCGCATGCACGGAGGGGGACACGCCCTCAGGCAGGCCCAGAGGAAGGCAAGGGTCTAGGCTGCCTGCCTGGGCTGCCCCTTCCCCAGTCCGCCTGCCTGGCAGGCTCTGGTGCGGACTACAGCCAGGCCCACGTTACAACCGTTAGATACCGGCGGAGAGCGGGCCCGGGGAAGGGTGGTGCGGTGCAGCATCAGACGGTGCAGGGGGAGTCATGGGCCGGCAGGGCAGGACCTTGGCCGGCGCAGGGTCAGGGCTGGGACTCCCCTGCTGGGCCTGGCCCGTGGGAGGACGTCCTCGGATGGACTGAATGCGGCCGTGTTCGTGCAGGCCATCCCAGGGGCCCGGGCCCGGGGGGGAGCGCTGTGCCGCCGGTGTGCCCACGTGGGCGTCTGGCCCCCAGCCAGGCTGCGGCCCCCCGCCCGGAGCCCTCTCCCTAGCCCCTCCCAGCATTCTCCCTCTTCCTCTCCTCTTGGGTGCTGGAGTGGGTCGAACAGTGTCCCCCACCCCCTAAATTTTAGTTAAGATGAGGTCAGCCTGGGTCAGGGTGGAGGCCGGTATGCTCTGGACACAGGGGAGACGGACACAGGGAGAAGCAGAGAAGGGGTGCAGCTTACCGGGATGGCCGCGAGCCCCTGGCTGCCGGAGGAGGCCCGGAAGGATCCTCCCCGTGGGCCCCCACAGGACCTGGCCTGCCGACACCTTGACCTTGGACTCCGGCCTCCAGACCGGGAGAGAAGAGACCTCCAAGCCGCCAGGACCCTCACGGAGCTCACGGGCTCCCCCTGCCCTCACCACCCAGGACCCCTGGGGCCTGGGCCCAGCTCCCCTCTCCGGCTGTGTTCTGCTGAGGCCTTGCGAGTATCAGGGATGGGAAGACCACCGGGGAGGAGGGGCCCGGGTGAGCACACGGGTGAGAACGTGACGCGGGGACTCAGCCCAGACCTGAAGCAGGCGGCGTCACTGTCCCCTTGTGCCCACTATGGTCAGTTCACGGTGACATTTTGAACACGTGACTTCAGCACTCCCAGAGACACGGCACCTTCTGGGCCCTCAGAGCACAGATTCCCGGGGCGGCCCGGTGACCGCTGCCCCCACAGGCTGGGACAGGTGCCCTCCCCCTTCCCCGTGCCGGCTCACAGCAACCCTGGCACCTTCCCCAGGCAGACCTGGGGTCACATGGGGGACTCAGGGAGATGAGTCACGCTCTCCCAGGGGTACAGTGGCGCCTGCGCTCAGCCCAGACCCGGGGACAGGGGTCTAGGGGAGGCAGGATGGTGAGGGAGGGAAGGACAGGGCGGGGAGGACAGTGGTGAGAGGACGGTGCGGGAAGGAGGGAGGATCCTGGACAGTTCTTGGCTGGGACAGCCCCCATCGCTCCCCCAAGGCCCAGATCCAGGTCCGGAGGGGCCTCTGCTCCCGGAGGCCAGCCCTGTAGCGCTGGGAGCTGGTGGGCCACGGCCCCACACAGCCCGGGGTATCACAGCTTTCCTCTGTCCGTCTTGTGAGGGGCCCCAGGGTCCTTCCCAGGGCCTCCCAGCTGGAGCCTTTGGCAGGAGGTGCCCCCTCCCCAGGGCTCAGCTCCTGGCCCCTGAAGGGGGCTGATGGCAACAGGAGGCCCCTGGATTCTTGACACCGATGCCCCACGGGCCCTGGGAGGGTAGGAATGAGGGGGCCGGGGGCTGGGGTGAAGGACAGGGCTGGGGCGCCCTGTCAGGGCTGGAGAAGCCCCAGGAGCAGCGGGAACAGGAGTTCTAACCCTGCTGGGGTGTCGGGGTGCAGTCCGTCTCCAAGGACAAAATGATCTCAGGTCCCATCGGAGTGACTGCCTTCTGTTTCCGGAAAGCTGGGAATGGGGGGGTAGGGACCAGGTGTGGGGCTGGGGGACCTTCCACTCTGCCCAGAGCCCACCTGCCGGCTCCAGCCCTGGCCCAAATGGCCATCAGAAAACCACAGCTGCCCTCCCCAGGGTGGGGGCTGACACACTGGCCAGGCTTCTAGAAAGCACCTGAGCAGCTGGGCCAGTGGGCAGCAGCTCGTTCTGCCTCCTCGCCCCACAGCAGGGACAAGTGTCTGCCTCAGGCCACACAGGCTGCTGACCCTTCTGTCCCCTGCCCTCGTGACGAGCCGTCCTGTGTGCTCATCCAGGCTCCTCCTCCCCAGAGGTCTTCCCACCCCTGCTACGTGCAGGTGAGCGGCCGTGGTGGGAGGGCCCCCGAGGCCAGGACTGCCAAGGGCACAGGTGTCGGGGCAGCGCCTCTGCAGGCGCTGAGTGCACTGAGACGGTTCCAGGCTCTGGAAGGAGCCGGGCTGAAGGGGAAGGAGCCTGATGGGAGACGTTCCCCAGCCTGGCCCCAGGAATCCCCTGTCCTACGCCACAGACAGCCATGGGCCAGGAGCCCCCATGTGGCAGGGGACAGGGGCCCCATTCAGCCTGCCTCCCAGGGCCAGGGGCCAGCGGAGGGCAGGGATTCTCGCTCCCGGACACTGACCTTCAGGGCGGGGAGCTTCTCTGTGGCGGCCGTTCTGTATCCCTCTCCCCGTTAAAGGCCAGTGGCAACCCCTCGCGTGACACCCGGACATGCCGCCAGACCTCGCCCAACGTCCCTGGGGGGCACGACTCCCTAGGTCAGCGGGAAGGACAAGGCAGGCCGGCAGAGGAAGCCGCTGGACACAGACACCGCTTTCATCTTGTATTCTCATAAACCAGGTTTCCAGAAGCAGACGTGAGAACAGTGGTCTCCGACCCGCCCACAGACGGTGATGTCCAGGCTGAAGGGCGAGGGGTCGCTGTACCTCCTCCCAGACCACACTGGGTCCTGCCCGGGGGGCGCCCTGCGGGTGGGGTCTGCTACAGGCTGCAGGGAGGGCGCCCAGGGCTGGTGGCGGGCCCCGCGCCCCCTCCCCGCACCCTGGCCGTCCTCGTGCTTCCGCTCTGGATGCCCCGGACCCCGTCCCCCTGCAGGGACTTGTCCCTTCTCATGCTTCACGCAGTCGGATGCTCACGGGTCTCGCCGCGCTCGCGTCAGAGCCGTGAGGGGAGTTCTGGGTACAGAAACAGACACGGACAGTTTCTCCTAGAAAGTGCTGGGCTCAGCTTCGCCCCGAGCCTGGCCCTTGTGTTTGTCCCAGTCCGGGTCCGGGTCTGGGGGCTCCTGACGCCGTCAGTGCTGAGTGACTGCAGGCGGGACGACAGGCTGCGTGTCCCAGGGGCTGTGCACACCTGCATCACCTGGCAGCCTCCTTCACAGAAGCTTCTGGAAGCACGAGCAGCTAGACTCATTCAGGGCCACAACATGTGAACGGCCAGAGCCGTGGGCCGCACACCTCTGCGTGCCCCGCCAGGGCCCGGGGGGCTCCGAGGAGCCTGGTGTTTGTCCCTTCTGGGCAGGCCGGGGGTGACAGGTGCAGAGGGCGGCATGGAACTCACGCCACATTCTGACGCTAGGAGGACGCCCCCTCCATGCGTGTCACGCTGCCACTGAGGGCCCTGGACGGACCCTGGCGAAGCCGTGTCCCCCGGAGACGCGCGCTCCCTTTCCGGCCTGAGCGAGTTTCTGGGTTGTTCCCTTTGCACCCTCGGAGGCCGTGGTTCCTGCCAGGGCTGCCCGAGAGCAGACTATCTTCTCGAAAAATTCCACTGACTTTTTCGGAGGGAAATCCAGCTTTGGGCCAAAACAAACAAGATCGGGGTTTCTTCCCAGTGAGGATCTCAGAAGAACACAAAGTCCCAGGAGTCTGTCAGGGGTTTTGCAGCGTTGACCGTGACTGTGACCGGCATCCTGGACAGACACACACGTGCAGACACACGGCCCTGCGTCTCGGGGGGCGGGAGGGATACACTGGCGCCTCCGTGTCCCACAGACACCCCTGAGTCACCTTCACCCAGCAGGGCAGTCGCGGGAGAGCCCGCGCCCTCGCTCTTCCTCCTAAGTGAGACGCCCTCCGCCGGTCTCAGAAAAGCCACACTGCCCCCAAGCCCCGTGGGTTTTGGATATAGAGGAGCCCCACGGGCTGCAGGGGTGGGTGGGGGAGGGAGCCATCGCGAAGCAACAGAGCTGGGGAGCCCGCCCACGTGGGGGCACGTGTGTCCTGCTGACTCGAGAGGTCCTTGTCCTTGTTCCGGGATCGGGGCAGCCCCTGGACAGCTCTCCCTGGGGTCAGGCAGGGGCCTGCGTGTCCCTTCCAGGCTGGAGAGGCCCCGAGTCCATGAAACTCCCTTGTTAATGGCGCCGGTGGGGGCAGATGGTCCCCCTTGGCCACCGGGCCTGCCACTTCTCAAGCCGCCGTCCGCCGTCCCTCCTGGTGGCATCTCACAGCAGCCCTGTCCACCTCCTGGCCGGGGAGTTCGCATCAGACACAGTCTTAGAAAGAAAAGAAGGGAAGCGGAGTCACGGGACCGGCACCTGCTATCTTCGGGGGGAGGGGAGGCAGACGGCTGACTTTTCTGGGGGCTTAGAAGGGTGGAAACAAAGGGCCGAAAACTTCGAAAACCCACGGACGGGGGGCTTCCGTCCACCCTAAGAACAGGCAGGCACTAAGGGTTTGGTGAGTTGCTGGTCTCAGGCTGTCAGACACGGGGTCATGTGGCCCCAGGAGCACATCCCCGGCTGCCCACCTGTCAGCCGCTGGGAGCAGGTTCCCGGGACCAACGGGGCCCCCCTGGGGTTGCTACATTTCATGCCCAGCAAGGGCCCGACCGCCCCCGGGCGGCCACAGGGCCAGACGGGCTCACGAGACTCAGAGCGGGGGCTCACTTGCCGGGGCTGTCAAGTGCACACCGGCCCCTTGGCCCTCGCAGCCCGAGGCACCTGCGAGCGGGAGACAGAGGCTCTGTGGGTGGGTGTGTTCCCCACTCTGGGGGGGTCACCTCGAACTTGGCTCCCGGGACTGGGGAGCTCGCCTCACACATGAAGCTATTCTCTGACAATGGGCTCGGTGTCTGGCCTCTTGTGGGCCCCATGGGGGTGGGGTGGGGAGGGCGGGGCGCCGGTGGGGAGGGTGAAGCTCGGGGGCTGTGCCCGGCGGTCACCATCCCAGGCTCTCTGCTGGCGTGTGTGTCTGGAAAATTCCGTCACCCAAGGTCAGCAAGGACGATTACACGCCAGAGGGGGCAAGTGGGAAGCAGCTTCCCGAGGGGTTCCCCAGGGGTTCACTGTGTCTCTGAAAACAGAAACATCTATCCCCTGGCCATCAAATACAACTCATGCCAAAGGCAGCCCCCAGCCGCCCGCTCCCGTAACCCGCACGCGCCCTCCGCGGGCCCCTGCCCTCGCCGCCCACTCACCAGGGAATGTCCGCTCTGGCTTTGCAGCCGGGCACCTGTGGGAAGGAACCAGAAGCACTCAGGGTGGGCAGCAGAGGGCAGGGGAGGGGCCGCGGCCGTGGGAAATCTTTCTGCGATGACGGAATTGGCCACGTGTGCACGGGAGGCCCCAGGGAAAGGCTCCAGCTTGGAACCAACTTGTCCAGCAGCGACCCAGGCCCTCACCCCATGAAAGATCTGGAAGGTCCCCACCTTTGTCAGTATCTTAGGGGATGCCCACCAGCCTCACCCCCAGGGAAGACGTCCCTTGCCCCCCCCCCCCAGGGTCCTTCCTGGTTGACCCTTGGGGTGTGACTCCGTTTGCGTCCTGGGCTTTTCTGCGAGTTTTGCTGCTTGATTTTAGAGGATCAACACCCAGACTTTCTCCACCTGTCTTAACTTTGGCCAGAGTTCAGGACCGAAGGCAGCTCAGCTTCCACGGAAATGGACCCCGTCCTGACCTCTACGCTCAGAAGCAGCCGCTCCCGCCCCATAGGAGGACACGGCCTCCTGCTGCACCCACACCTTGAACAAGGCAGCTGGCTCATGCCAACCCGAGAAACGCTCAGCCCCGAGCCCCGGTGCCCGGTTCCCTACCTGGTTGGAAACCCGCGGGGACATCGGCTCCTACACACCCAGCCGGTGGCCACGGCCACGGCCACGACCACGCCCAGCACGGCCAGGGTGCTCAGCACCATCCCGTGATCCCTCCTGCGGACGTCCGTGTGGCTCCCTGTGTTGCCGGGTTCGGGGGTCGTGAACGTTTCTGCTGGAAGAGAAAAGGAACCCAAGAGTTAATGGGTACGGCGGAAAGGCAGGGCCTTCCGACCTTCCCACACAGCAAGAGGGGCCTGAGGGAGGTGCTGTTTTGGGGATGCTGAAGCCCTGAGGCCGGTGAAGGAAGGGGTCCTGTCCCTCAGGGGAGCACCCCCCTCTTCCTGGGGGCACAGGCGGCCCTCCACACCCCCACCTGGGCCGCAGGAGCCCCTGAAGCGCCCACACCTGGGCAGGAAGTGCTGATCCACTGGGTGGGGGCGTGGGGAGCTTGTACGGGCTTCCAGTGGTCCCACAGCGCCAGAACTGACACCACTGCCTGGCGAACCTTCTGGTTTCCCTTCCACCCGCCACCCACGCTGCTCTGCAGGGAGAACGCGGCTCAGAGGCCGTGGTCAGAGGCGGGCTGTCTGGTGCTACCCTTGTCCTGGTCTGTTTGGGCTCAGAGACCGTGACCACAGAATCAAAAGGCTGTGCCCTGATTTCTGGAAGGAAAACAGTGGCCCTGCCACTGTCCCCGGGGGTCACGGCGTGCGCCCCACGCAGGCCCAGGCCCAACACTCGGGAGGCTTGTGCGTGCTGTCACCCTCTGCTGGTGCCATCTCGGATTCTCCCCATTCCTGCACAAGGAGCCCAGCCTTTCCCTCCACTTTGCACCAGGACCTGCAGGTTACTGGGGGCGGGGTGCGGTCCTGGGGCAGCATCACTTTCCTGTAGCAGGCAGGGCCCGCGGACCCCACTGCCAGCTGCTGGGAACCTGTCATCTCAACATCATGACAGGGACATGCAGATGGAGAGCCTGGGGCCTCTAGTACCTGCCTGTACCCCGCACCCCAGCCCCCCACACCCCAAGCCAGCAGCCAGGCCCGGTTCCCGCAGCCGGAGCCCCAGCGTGGTGGCTCCGGCCTTCTGACAGGGCACAAGCTCATAGACGGAGCAGGCGTGAGCTTCGGTCCTGATGCCGTCACTGCCCGGTCCTACACAGCCTCTTGGCCTCAGTCCCTCGTCCGTAAAGTAGGTCAGCAAAGCTGAGCCTGAGAGTGACCACTGAGTCAGGCCACGTGCCCTACGCGCCCAGCCCCGCTCCTGCCCTTCAATCTGCCCGTCACCTCTTCCCACTTCCAATCAGCTTTCGGAAGCCACAGCCAAGACCCCTTGCAGGGGCCGGTCCCCAAGTCACCACAGGCCCCCAGGCTCGGGCTGGCCTCAGCACGCAGACCCCGGGGGACCTCACCTGTCTGGCACAGGCCCGTGAGGTTTTGGTGCAGAAGGACGTTCTCGATGCAGCAGCCGATGTTCACGCTGGGGGTCCGGCTGACCCGCAGGACGCTGACCACGTCGTACAAGCCGCGTGCGTTCAGGACGACGGTGCTGTTCTGCAGACCCTCGGGCAGCACGCTGTTGTCCGTCTTGTTGATCCAGTACACGTTTGGTTTTGGATAGCCGTTCACGGACGTGCACGTGAACGTGAGCTCCTCGTCCTCGGAGGGGCCGTGTGGCGCGAGGACCACCGGCACGCTGTAGTTCGCTGCAGGGGGGCGGGGAGGGGAGGGCGGCAGGGGCTGAAGGTCAGAAGCGGAGGGGCACACGGCCCGACTCCCGATGACACAGCCTGTCTGTCTGCTGCGCCGAGGTCCTAGGTCGCCTGAACTGCCTTCCTACGTTCTTGCTCACTTAGCGCTTTACAGCACTCGCTCCTAATCTCGTTCAGAACCTCCAGCTGGAGCTGATTTGCAGAATTCCAGGCAAAGATGGAAGATTCGGGGTTCACGCGTGAGACCAGGTCAACTCAGGCTACAGGGGACTTCCTACGGGGCAGATGCGTTTTCAACCAGCTCGGCCCCACACCCGCTTAGACGCAGACCCGCCTGGAGACGTTAGGAGGCTCTTTACGGACGGAAATGAGCCCAGTACCGCGCCTTGTCCACACGGGCTCAGGGCGTAAGGCTGGGGTGGGGTGGGTCCCGCCGGCCTCCACGGTCTTACCTGCCACGTGCAGCGTCACCACCACGTCCAAGATCTTTTGTAACTGCAACGATTTCCTAAACACCAGGCAGTTGAACTTCTGTTCGTCGAGGGGGGTGACGTTGTAGAGACGCAGAGAGAAGTCGCCGTGCTTCATGCTGTCCGGCGAGAGCCAGGCCCTGTCCCTGTAGCGGTTGTCCTCGAGGCCCGCCGAGCTGTTCCCCGACAGGTAGTAGGTCACAGTCGTCGGGTGGCCCACGGCACTGATTTGCCAGTACACGTACAGGTCGTCGAGATCAAAAGTGGGGCTTTCGGGGAAGACGCAGCTGAGCTCGACGTCGCTGCCCACCAGCGCTCGGACTTCCTGCTCTCGAGTATCCGCTGGGATGGAAGAGGATGAAACTGATTTTCTGCCCGAAACTGATTTCTTGCCCGAAAACTTACTCTACTGGGGGGACAGGAGGAGGATTTTTGGTCGCAAGACGCAACCACCACTTCCGACTCATATCAGCAGAAACACGATGTGTTGATCAGATGGCCATAGGAACGGGAAAGCACACTTAAAATTCAGGCATTTTTGGCAGGCACGTGGATTTCTATCCTTACAGGAGAGGCTAACGTCGGGAGAAGTGGGGGGACGGGGGACACCCAGAACTGCACTGCACTATTTCGCCTACTTCCAGGGTATTTCCAATTAATTCAAAATAAAATGTTCCTTTTCTTTTTTTTCCCCCCAGACATTTATAAGGAAACAGTTTCGCTTGACGCTCGCACTACATCAGGAAGGCTGACAGGCTGTTCCCAGGGTGGTGCAACCGTCAGGACCACAGAAACACCTGCGGGGAGAGCCATTGTGTCCCCGGCCCGCCGCTCTCAGGGCTGGAAGGCTTGGCGAGCCCTCGGCCTTCCACGTGGTGCCGAACCCTGTTCCTTGCTTTTCTGCATGGTGGCGGCTTTGCAAATTCCTAGGGGCCAACTGGGGCGAAGGGGTCAGGAGAAAGAGGGGGCCCAGCTCATCAGGGAGCAGAGGGACTGAAACATGGAGAACGAGCTGCCTTCTACCTCCGTGAAACACGAACTCAAACAAGGACTCTGGGGCCTGCACAAGCGGCCCCAGTCGTGGCCTTTGGTCTGCTCATTACCCAAACCCCGGACTCAACTTCCTCGCGGGGGCCCCCAGAGGGGCAAGAGGGCCGTGGTAGGACCCTGTGGACACCCGCACCCACAGGACACCTGCACCCACAGCCTCCTGCTCCGCAGGAGGGCAGAGCCCCCCCCGGACCTACCGGCTTGCAGGGCACCGAGCAGCAGCAGGAGCAGTCCAGGACTGGAAAGAAACAACCAGAAAGGCGGGTGAGCTACTGCTCCTTCCAAACAGGGCACACTGCTCCTCGCGGCGAGAGTGGTTGTGCCCAGGGAGAGATGTGACCACACGCATGGCCTCAGTCCAGCCGGTGGCTCCTGGATGGTGGGACGACTCTGCTGGTGGGGCGGTCAGGGCCACCCCCGGCAGTGCCGCCAGTCCTGAGCCACCCGCCAGCTCCCCGATGCCAACAGTGTGATCACAGGGATGGTGGGAGCCTCCCCAAGGTCACAGCCCTCCGCCCTCCGCCCGCTGCGGGCCTGGCCTTTGCTGTGGACGGATTCCAAGAAACTACATGAAATCAGGAAAGTACACTTTGAAGGGATTTGTAGCAGAGCTACGTTTAAGTTTGGGGGCACAGAGGGGTGCCTGGGTGGCTCAGTGGGTGAAGCGCCAACTCTTGGTTTCGGCTCAAGTCATGACCTCAGGGTCAAGTTCCGGGTCCGGCTCCCCGCGCCACGGACAGTCTGCTCCCGGACTCTCCCTCTCTCTCCGCCCCTCCCACTCGTTCTCTCTCTCTCTCTCTCTCTCTCTGAAATAAATAAATAAATCTTAAAAAAAGAAGTTTGGGACACAGAGAGGATCTAACGTGGCCAAGAGCAGCGGGCGCTGAGCCTCCGGGGAGCCCATGGGAGGAAAGGGACGCGGTCATTCTGAAACCAGAAACCAGATCTGAAGGCTCCTCAGAGCGGACAGGCAGCTCGCCGGCCAAGGGCCAGCAAACCCCTCTGGGGACTTCCCAGACTCCTTGAAGCAGACCTTGGACTTGGGAGACTCCACACCCTGCATGCCTCCGCCCCACCACCCCGTCCTGCAGCCTCCCAGGATCCTGCGTCCGCTGCGTGAGTTCTGGACCTGAAGGCACCCCCGCCCCGCCCCCAACAGCTGTCATCTGAGTGGGCATGGCGGCCCGTGCCTTGCGGGGACGTTCCGGCATGCACTGCTGTCCTGCCAAGCCCGACCCTGGGCCACCATGGGCTCCCCCACACCCTACAGAAGTCGCAGCCTGTTGGGATCACCATTCCAGCTTGTAAGGACAACTTCCAGACCTCCCTGTCCAGCCCCCTTCCCTGGAGCCAGAGCTGCCTTGTAAGCCACAAGGCTGTGAAAACCCCTTGGTGACTCCCCACGGGAGACCCACAGTCTCCCACAGTGCCCATCAGACCCCCCTTCTGTGCTGAGGGTCCAGGGGACATACGCCTGCTAGGGTGTCATTGGGTTATCTGGGGGCTCTCTGGGGGCGTGCACATGAGCACATGCTCTGGGTTCTGGCCAGAGAGGTTTGCCTTCTCCCTGGTGCTCCCTGGGCCCACTTCTTGGGCCCTCCTAGGCCTCTGCTGTTCCACCTGGGCCCCAGGCCAAGCCCCCAGGCTCTGGGGTATGGGTGACTGTGACATTCAAGGACCTACATTTATAACAGGGAAGGCTGGGTGTCAGGACCCAGGTGTCACTGCCACATCAGCTTATCAAGAGGTGCACAGCCTGCCAACCCCACGACTCCACCCAAAGTGGGTGTCCTGGCAAAAATCTGGGAGCAAAGCTGGCATCCGCGTCTTCCCACTAGCAGGGACCAGGAATGATGGGCAGGCCTGAGCCCATCCTCCTCCCCATTGGCTGATGGGGGCAGGATCCTAGGTGTGTGGGGGAGGACATGGTACCAGCCAGTGGGCACCAGAGTGATTCTGGCGCTTCGAGGTCATGGCGTGCCTCTGGGCAATCTGCTGTGGGTGGCCAAGCCAGGGCCTGGGCGCAGGGCCGCGGGGTCGCGGGGCCGCGGGGACACTTGTCCGCTAGTCCCCTAGTCCGCTGCGGGCTATTCTCCTTCCAGCTTTCGCTCTCACCCTTCCTTCGCGGGACCCGCCTCCAAGTACACCCACGCGCTGCCCTCCGTCCTCCGCCACCTGCCCCACCCCTGGGAGGACGCCACCCGCCTGCAGGTAGGGGCTCCGGATGCCGCCTGGCGCCCAGGGGCCGACCCTCCCACGGATTCCGCCCGGGCCACCAGGTGAGCGGTGTCCTATCGGACGACCTCGGGAGCCTGCTCCCCGCCCCCGCGGCGCCACCCGCTCCTTCCCCGGCACCCGCACACTCACCTTCTCAGCCGCATGGTGGGGGCGGGACCTCGGGTCGCGGGAGCCCTCGGAGCCGGAGAGACCTCGGGCGGCGGGAGACCCCGGAGCGCGGGAGACCTCAGGCCGCGGGAGCCCTCGGAGCTCGGGAGACCTCCGAGCGCGAGAATCCTCAGACCTCGGGAGCTTTTGGGGCGCCGGAGCCCAGTTGAGCCTCCGCGTCCCGCGCCTCCGAGGCTCTGAGCGCTTTGCCAGCCGCGGCTCCGAGTGCCTGCCCTGGCCCCGCCCGGCCTTGCCTCTGATCCCACCCCTGCCCCGTCTGGCTCACGAGGGGGGAGGGCGGGGCTAGCGGGACGGAAGCTCGGGACAGGCCCCGCGAGGTAGCCTCCCCGCAGGGACGCCGCGCGGGCACCAGGGCGCCGAAGGTGACCCGGGGAGTTGGGTGCGGCGGGGTGCTGGTGCGCGTTCCCGGGCGGGAGCACGGCCGAGGGCTCTGCGGGAGGCTTGCCAGGCTGGAGGGGCCGTGGGAGGCCACGTGCTGTCCCCCGTGTCGCACAGACCGTCCGCGCCCCCCAAGCGCCCAGGCCGCCGCGGTGCCTACCGCGCCCCCCGCCCCAGGAGCCGGCGCTTCCCGGCCCGAGGCTGGGCAGGGCCGAGTGCCCGCCGTCCTCCCCCCTGCCCTCCCTCTCAGCCACGGGAGTCGGGACCTCCAAGTCTTAGGGGAAGTGAGAGCCCTGCGGCCGTTTAAGAACGAGTGAATGAACGGACGGGAGGCGGGAGGGCAGGCGGGCTCTCCTCTCCAGTCCAGCGCTAGGTCCAGGAGATCGGCCCCCAGCTTCGCCCCCCGTCCTTTGGGGGGTCCTGCGCCACACGCCACAGCATGTGTGGCTGGTAAAGGCTCTGAGGGGCCCGCTGTGTGGAAACCAGTTCCGTCTCCTCCTCCAAGGCCGTGGCTCTCCTCTTCTGGTCTGGAAAGGGCCCTCAGCTCCCTTCCCCACCCTGCCCAGCGCCCTTGGCCTGCACTGCGCGGCCAGGCCGGGTGAGTCACTGTTCCACCACGTCCCGCGCAGGCCAGGTACGAGCCAGGGAGGTAGGCGGGGCCGCAAGGGAATGGGGTGTCCTTCCTGCAGAGGCGGCCCCTGGAGAGGCCTGGGATCCCAGGCGCCCCACCTCTGGTGTCCGGGGAGCTGGCAGGCGCAGTGCGTCCTCACCCAGTCCCCGGACCCTCTCCAAGTCCGCTTCCCAGGCTGATGGGGAGGCAGAGGCCGGCGCAGGAGAAGGCAGGGTGTAAGCGAGGGCCAAGCAAGGAGGGCTCCCCCGACCGCGCCCCCTCTAGCAGGCTGCCTGCCCCTCCAGCAAAGACTAGCGCGCACCTACTGCAGGCCAGGGACTCTGTGGGCGCGAGGGGTCCGCTCCGAAAACACAATCTGTGCTCCGTGGAAGTGATTATTCCGGTGCAAACGGGAGCGGAAGCGGGGGAGGGGGTGGCAGGACGAGGGGCCGCCGAGCAGGGCGCGCAGGGAGGGGCGGGACCTGCAGGTGAAACCGGGGCGGGGAGCGCGGGCGGAGAGCTCCGGGGCTTCCCCCCTTCCCGGCAGGCTAGACCCTTAGGGTGTAGGATTTCAACGGGACAAGCGGGACTCCCTCCCCTTTAGTCGGGGAGGGGGCGGCCAGGGGGCCAGGAGGGGACTCCGTTCACGTGTCCAGTGGGGGCACCGGCCGTCTGAACTTGGGGCGCCGTGAAGGGGGCGGGAGGCGGGGACCCAGAGGAAAGGTTAAAATCCGGCTAGGAGAGCACCGTGTGGCCGTGAACCGGCTCCCGCAGGGGCTCGGGACGCTGCCTACTCCCGGGCCGGAACGGAAAACGGAAAACGTTGCCGTCCTAGGCCGCAGTTTGAACAAATGTAGCGGGGGGCGCTTGGGGGAGGGGCGCCGGGTCAGGCCCGGTGGGCCTGGACGGAGACGCGATGTCGGTGGCCTGGCTGCCCCCGGGGCTGGCGGCGTTGGCAGCGGAGAGCCCGTCCGGGGGGCCCCGCCCAGGCCAAATCCGCAGGAGAGGCGCATCAGTGGCCGCGGGACACCTCCACCTCCCAGCCCTCCGGGGTCCCGCCCCGCGAGCAAATCCCGGGGCTCCCTCTGACTGGGGGGGGGGGGCTACGCTGCACTGATTGGCCGACGCCTGGGCAGCGCTCCGCCTCCGGAGGCCCCCGCGGGGAGCCCACGTGGCCCGTGGGAGGGGCCAGGGGAGGGGCCAGGGGAGGGGCCAGGGGAGGGGCCAGGGGAGGGGCGGACCCCAAGTGCGAGGGGCTTTTAGGCGCTGGGAAGGGTGCGCAGTCGGTGGGTCCGGAAGCGCGACGCAGCCCGGGCCTGCTCCAGGGCAGCGGGGAGGGAGGGGCTCGGGGCTCGGAGGGGTAACCTGGGGGCTGAGGGGCGCTGCGGTGCCACCGGTCCCGTCAGGAATGAGGGCTGGGACGCAGCGCAGGGGCTGTTTGTTGAGGGGATTTCTAGCCGGTCGGGGCCGTGGGGGAAGGGACGCCTCGGCTTGGTACATGCATGCTGGTTCCAGTCCCCGCGGCTTCCCAGGAGCTGTGTGACCTCGGGGAGTCACTTAACTCCGCTGTGCCTGCGCGTTCCCGTTGGCCAAGTGGGAACAGTCAAAGAGCAGCGGGTTCCCGTGAGGGGCTCGTGAGCTGACACACGGAACGTTCGCACTGACACTGGCGCGTGGGTCACAAACAGTTATTTTATGGAAAAGCAGACCAGCCCTCGGGGCTCCCTGAAGTTGGCAGGTTTCCGTTTCTTCCCCTTCAGGGCGACCATGTTTCCCAGGCGGTCAGAGGCTGCGGAGGGAGAATCTGCTGGAGGAGCATCTAGGCGGCCCTGGGCACCAAGCGGGGTGGTGTTCAAGCTGGGGATCAAGGTCTCCGCCGTGGGAGGGGGCGGTGTGCACTTGGATGCCGAGACCCAGGCTTCCTGAGCAGCTCCCTGGGGGTCGGCACAGCCTGGACATGGGGGCAGCCCTCAGCGGGGTCCCTGGTCCAGGGAGCCCATCTTTTCTCCAGCGGGTGTGCCTGTTTCCTGGGGAAGCCGGACGTCAGCGCCACAGGCTTGACACCTCAAAGCAACAGAAATGCATGGTCTGTGAGTTCGGGAGGCTGCTGCCTGGATTCACAGCTCCTCCGGGGTCTCTGGGCGGGGCTTCTGCTGTCTTCTGCTCCTGGTGGCCCCAGGATCTCTTGGCTTCTCTGTCTCCAGGGTCATGATCTTCCCTGTACCAGGTCAGGTCTCCCTCTGCCTCCCCTGACAAGGACCTTCGTGATCACATTTAGGGCCTCCCCAGGGTAATCCTGGACAATCTTCCCATCTGATGTCACCGTATCGGCAGCATCCTTTCTGGCCACAGAAGGTGACATTCACAAGCTCCAGGGATCAGGACAGGGACACCTTTTGGGGTCTGTGGGTGGGATTAAATACTTGGAGCCTCTCAAGGCATTTGAGAATAGGGGCAGCTCTGGGCCCCTCCTGGGGTGCGGTCACGGTCTGTCCCAGAGCTTGGCGTCGATCCTAGGAACCTCGGATCACGGACTGAGCCACTCGGGCACCTCTGACCTCGATTTCATTACTCATCTTGCTAAATTCACCCCTGGCCCCTAGACCTGGGACCCCAAAGCCCAGGGACTATTCTGTCCACCCATGAGAGAGGGTTTATGTGGACTCAGGGAGGATTTCTGAATTAGTCAGGCTTCTCTACAACCGATGGCAAGGATGGGCTCGCAGAACTACCGAGGCTCAATAAATCCGAAATGTGGGGGGCGCACTGGGTGGCCAGAGACCCGGGGAGGAGGGGTCACCAGAGTCCACAGGCCATCTGCCGGAGAGGGCCCTGCTCAGAGGTCAGCCTGTTCCCTCAGGCTTCTCGGGTGGGCAGAGGCCCGCTGTCTCCGGCCCCCGGGCCGCTGTAACAAGACAGCACACACTGATGGTTTCTGAACGGTGGAGATGTGCGGCCCACAGCTCCAGAGGCTGCAAGTCCCAGGCCTGGGGCCGGCTGCGCGGGTGACAGTCCTCCTCCTGGCCACACACCTGTTGCGCACCCTCATGTGGCATCCCCATCTGGCATCCCCATACGGCACGAGGGGCAAGGAACCACTCTGGGCCTCTTCAGTGAGGGCACTCGTCCCATTCCTGAGTCACCTCCCCAAACATGTCCTGACACCACCGTCCTGGGGGTTCGGACTTCAGCGTACGACTTGGGGGGAGGTGACACAGACCTGCAGACCGCCTGCCCTCCCGTCGTGGAAGGTCATCTGCTCCATTCCGGGCCCACCAATTTAAACATCAAACTCATCCAAAAACACCTTCACGGAAACATCCAGAATAACATTGGAGCAAATATCTGGGCCCCGTGGCCCAGCGAAGTCAGAACATAAAATTAATCCTTACCACGAATATTCTACTTCAAGGTATTTTTTAAAAAAGATCTTCAGGAGGTCCAATTTTAGCCCCACTTTTCCTCTGCAAGGTGTGCACACGGCTCCCAGCGCCGGCATGGGCCCCAGGGGCTCGTCGCCCCTGCCCGGACGCCCAGGACAAGCTGTCTGTTACCGTCTAATCTGCATCCCTGGGGGATTCCCGGGCTCATCGGGAAAGATCCCTTTGGGATTCATTACGTGTGACTTGAAGCCAGCTCTGCGACCGGCTGGGGTGTGCAGGGGTCCCACCTTCTGTGAGCAAGTCCCTCTCATGCGAGGGGCCCCAGCGGGCTTGTGCCTCAGGCTCGGATCTGGCCTGAGTGGCCTGCTCTGTCCTTCTGTCTGTGCTCCCTTTGCTTGCCAAGTGTGATATTCTGTGATGTCCTGCGGCTATCGTCAGGCTGGGTGGTTTTCATGACCACGGCCAACAGCGGTCACATGCCAGCATGGCCAAGGGCGCCCAGGGAGCGCAGGCCAGGCCGCTCAGGACAACGGGTCCTGCTCATCTCCGCCCACCCCCGACCCGCCCCGTCCCACAGGATACAGTAGAGGCCGACCTTACACACAGAAACACAAGAATGTGATGCATAACCAGCACGATAAATATATTTTTTAACTTCTCAACCGGCACACAGAAACATTTTCAGCAGCAAACATGCTTCGTAACGGTCGGGGGCTGGGAACGTCACGCCCCCCACACCTCGGAGAAGGGCACCGCAGGGCTGGGCCCTCATCACCACACCCAAAGGGAAGACACGTCTGTGGCAACCTTGGAAAATCCAAAATCAAGCAAATAAAATAATCATTTGAAAGGAAAAAAGAAACAGTGTAAGGAAAGTTGCCTGGTTCTAACAAAAGTCTTTTTTCTTCATAGTAAAATAAATCATTTATAAAGAGGAAGTGAGTTCTGTTGAAAATACTTGAAATATTCTCTCAGGGGGAGAAAACAATTCTTCACCAGCTTGGCAGGTCCCTGGCCTGGAGGCTTTGCCCTCTGCCTGTCTGGAGCCAGCAGGGACAATTCGTCGTGGGGAGTCAGGGCCGAGTGCCTGCTGCCAGGGGGAGAGGGAGGCTCATTACCACCCCGAGCTGCCCACGGCCCTGAGGACCAGAGCGGGGGGGGGGGGGGGGGGGCGGAGGTGGCGGCACATGGGGAAGTTGCTGGTGCCCATCCCGCTAGACAACCCAGAGGTCTCTAAGAGAAGTGTCCTTAGAAGACCTGGCCCTTCTCCTGGGACTCTCCCAGCCAGCGGTAGAAGATGAGCCGTCCTGGCGGTAGGGGACGAGATGGAACCCCCTCCCCCGACCCAGGGAGGAGCTGGTACCCTGGCCCCAGCTCGGCAGGTCCACCTCCCGTGGGAAGAGGCCATCGCGGAGGAAACCACACAGAAGAAAGGGCAGGACCCAGTGGGCAAGGTTGGGCAAACTGTGCTGCGCGGCATTCCCGGGGAACCCCTGTCCCCGAGAGCTGAGCCATATGGAGCAGGTCCTCCAGGGTCCTGCGGCTGCCGGCGCTGGAGGCCCCGCGCGTGGGGCCAGCCGCGGGGGAGACACACACCGCCCGCCTTGCAGTTTGAGCAGATGGCGGGGCTCACGGCTTCCAGACGCGGCAGCTGGCCCCCCACCCTGCACCCCCATCTCGGGCTCCCAGGCACCCCACCGCAGTTGGGGAACTCCTCTGGGTTTACTTCGGGGATTAAGGCCACAAATGAGGAGCCAGAAACACAAGTGCCCATCCCAGTCCCCTCCCAGATGCTTCCCCGGGGCAGCCCCTCGTCCAAGGGATGACACTGGCTGTCGGCAAAATGCTCCCACTTGCAGGGAACGTGAGGCTGGAGACAACGTGAGCCTGAGGGAAAGCGTCCGTGTGAAGACGCTGCTTCCAGCGTTGTCTCTGGGAACCAGGAGCCCCACTGCTTCCCTGGGCACCTGCATCTCCCTGGCCCCCCCTGCCCGCCCCCAAGAGGGGAGGAGGGGGAAGGACGCTGAGAGCGCGGGCGGGGCAGAAGGGGTGGCCTAACGGTCAAGGCGGTCAAGGCTTCGGAAAATGTGTGGACGCTGCTTCCCCTGGGCTCCGCCTAAACTCAGAACCTGGTGTGGGCCTGGCGAGTGCCGGGCCGGGCGGGCTCTGCCGTGATCACCGGGGCGTGCTGGCATTGGGAGGTGGGGGGACAGAAGCGTCCAGAAGCTGTCAGGAAAAGACACGACCTCGCTTGGATCCTGTCAATGTCGGTTCAACACAAGGGCAGGAGCCACAAGGCATGGGGTTGGGGGAGGGGGCGGCTGTGTCCTTAGGGGCTCTGGGGCACCGTGTGCAGCTGAAGTCAGGAGCGTGAGGGCAGGCATCCTGGGAGCAGAAAGCTGTCCAGAGCAGTGGGGCTGGGGGAAGCAGGGGTGTGGGGATGCGGGGGGCTGCGAGGCAGACGGGATGTTTGTGGGAAAGAACAGTCCCAAGAATGATCTGGCAGTGGGGGAGGGGCACGGGGGGGCCCAGAGCGCTGCGTGTTTGAGGGACTGTTGTTCAGTACAGCCCAGAAATGCATCGCGGGTGAGCCTGTGAGAGTGAGAAAGTGAGACTGAGTGTGAGCAGGCCGGTGTGGGCGTGCGCAGGGGTGTGGGTGAGCGTGCGCAGGTGCGGGTGTGAGCAGATGGGCGTCGCTGTGTGAGCAGGTGTGGGTGTGGGGATGGGTGTGAGCAGGCAGGTGTGAGTGTGTGCAGGTGGGGTGTGTAGGGCAGGGCACAGCTTCAAGGGGCTGCGGGGGGAGGCGCCCATGGCCAGGTGACGTGTGTCTGGGAGCGGGGACTCTCCTCCCGGGACTTGGGGAAGCACCGCAAAGCCCTGAGGGGAGAAGCCCGGACAGGCCCAGTGCAAGCAGCTGGGGAGAGGTCCCCAGTGTGGGAGCGGGCATTCCTGACCTTGATCATGCCCTGAATTTGGGGGGTGGACCTAAGGCCCGCCAGACCCAGCCCCTGACCTGGGCACGGAGGCCGCCTGGGCAGGGCTCTGTGTTCCTTTGGTGAAACCAACGCCACACCAGTGCCCCCTAAGCCCCCGCCAGCGCCCCCCAAGCTCCCGCGGGCCGTGGAACGCACAGGGAACCTTCTCACAGCCGGGATGTTGCTCCACACGTGCACGGCGTCCTGGACGGCTTGTCCACAGACGTCCTGGATGGTCACGGGGTCGGCCTGCAGGTGGGAATGTCGGCTGGGGAATCAGGGGGACGACCTCTGTCCCCCACGGTGCCAGCAGGCCTCAGCCACCCTGGGCACCACGTCGGGCCCTCCTGACTGTGTCTCTGGCTACTGTGCTTGTGTGTCACATCTGTTTCCCTTTATGACCTTATGAGGGAAAGAGGCTGAGATTGTGTCGTAAAACTTCTCTCGCGTGGACTTCCCATTTCCTCATTCCCCTGGGTCGCAGGCGCGGGTTCCCCTCCGCTCCAGCACAGAGGAAGACCCCCGCTGCAGGACAGTGACGTCCGTCCGTCCGTCCGCGGTCTTGCTGCTAAGGCTCTTTTGCTTCGGGAAGATAAAAGGCTTTGTTGGGAGAAAAGAGTTTTCTGAAAGGCTGGCCTCGGGAGCCGGGGGCTGCCTGGATCCTGGAGCCCCTGAAGCATGGGGTGAGGGTGGGAGGGAGATGGACCCTCCACCAATGGGAGAGGGAGCCACAGGAGGGAGGGGGCATCAAGGAGAAACTGAGGCAGGAAGCCCCCTGGTCCCCGACACCCAGCTGGACACAGGCTGAGTCTGCCTGCGCGCACTGTTCCCAAGCCCATCGCTGTGGACACACGGGCCTCCTGCACACACAGGCCCGGCGGGAGAGACACGCAGCGGCTGCCTGTTCCACATGGACAGATGTTTCTTGATTTGTCCCCCAGAACCCACCACCGGGACCTGCCCGGGCGGCCAGGGAATGAGGCTGGTGAGCGGCCCCGGAGCCCGGTTCTCTACAACACGTGCTCGGGCCTCCAGGTCAGAGCCGGCCCTTCCGTTCTGGACACCGAGGGCTACGAATCTTGTCTCACATCCCCTCCCGCTCCAGGCGGGGCTGGCCCCCCAGGATGGAATCCCCGAGAGGAGGCAGACTCACAGGCCGCCCTCCTGGAGGACGTAGAGACACGAGAACGTGGAAATGCCGCGCTCCAAACTGCGCGGAGGTGAACAGACGTTTAACCTCAGACCCCGTCACAGGCCCTAGAAACGTGGCCCATCCGGGGACAGTCAGCGGAAGTCTTTGCTGCGGGGAGGACGCCGCGCCCGGGCCTGTCACCCACCCTGGGTGTCTCCACGGGGCTCCCCCCGCTGAGAAGGCTGGGTGTCGTCAGCACCCGATCGCCTCGTTCTCGTTTGTCGCCCCGACTACCGTCATCAACGTGCATGTTCCGTGCCTCCCCTGTTTCTGCGGGGTTCTGAGACGAAGCTCTCTCTCCTTTGGAAGCCGACACGCGGCTGTTGCGAATGTTTGTGCAGAACACCGGTCACCCACCAGGGCGAAAACACATGGCACCATGTGCGGCACGTCTAGGTCTCCCCACCCCGGCAGGAACGCACGTGCACGGCAAGACGGGGGCTGTTAGAGACAATGCGGGGCGCAGGGAGCGCGGGACCCATTTCTGGGACAGGCAGACCCGGACGGGGTGTCCCGCCAACGCCGCGCTCCGACAGCGTCCCACAGGCGCCTGCACCACGAGACAAGGGCAGGGCACCGCAGGTGTGACGTCGGACGGGAAGACGACTGCTCTCTGCAGAGGACCAGCCCAGATACCCAGAAAGTCTAACCGAGTGGGCAGAAACCGCTGTGATCCTCAAGGTGACGCGGTAAGGCCATGGAGCCAAAGGAGCCCGACGGACAGCGCCTTGAGTTGCGCACACATCCGAACCCGCCAGATGGCAAGGCGGGAGGTCCGAAAACTCTCAGGGGGACCCAGGCCCCCACGCAGCAGGACTGCAAGGAAGAATGTGCACCCCCGTGGGCCTGTGTCTCCAGCGGGGGGCTGGGGCCGGGACTGCTCCACGGCAAATGGTTGAAGCCGCGAGGATGACAGCCCTTGGTGCACGCACGCCTCCCGGGGCCGTCCCACAGACGCCCACACACGCCCTGCATCAGTCCTTTTTTGCAACTGAGCAAAGTAAAGCACAAAACACGCCATTGAAGCGGTAAACGAGGGCGGCCGGTCTGCAGCAGAGGGGCCCGGGGGGCTGGTTCAGGCGAAAGACTCCGCAGATCTGAGGCATCTGCGTAAAGCAGCCCCGAGGTAGCCAGGCGAGGGGACAGGGCCCGGTGGCCAGGAGCTTTCCTCTGTGAGTGTGGGGCGGTCGTCCTGAGAGGGGACGCCAGGCCCCAAGGGTGTCCTGTCCCAGGGGGTCAGTGCTGGAGGGCCCTGGCCAGGGGAGCCCAGGGCGGCTGCTCTCAGGGTCAGAATTCAGGGGGGCAGAGAGAACACCCAAGGCTGTTGGTGCCCAGAGGCCGAAGGCCCTGTGGGTCTGTGCGCGTGTGTGGCGTGTGCCCGCGTGCATGGCGTACGGAGGTGTTTCTGGGCACGGACGGGAGCCCCACGCTGGCATGTGCGGAAGGAAGTGCAGGAATCACGAGCTGCGGGACGCCCTCCAAGGCCACCGCAGGGTCTGTGCCTCGGGAGAGCAGCGGGCCTTCCTGAGTCCCGAGAAGGGGAGGCTCCGGGTGGGGCCGTGAGCCCTGCTGTCCCCGGGGAGGCCACCCTGACCCGCCCTGACGCCCTCCCGGACTGTGGCTCGTACCTCCAGGAAGCGAGTGGCTACGCGCCGGTCATCTTGGCTCAGCACCAGATTGTCCACGAACATCCAGAAGAAGGGCTGCCTGCTGCCTGGGCTGGGCCTGGCGTACTGCAGGACGCGGTGGAACTGGAACAGGTACCACACTGGGGGGGTGCAGGGGTGGGGGGAGGGTGCCCAGTGAGGGGGTGCGGTGTGGGGGGAGGCTAAGGAGCTGGGGGAGGGGGGGCAGGTGTGGGGAGGGGTGCTGAGGGGCTGGGGAGGCAGGGGTGACTGTGGGACAGCCATTCCGGTGTGGCTGGCCTGGCCTGGGCCCTCACATGCTCCCCAGGGCAGGCCTGTCCCCTCCAGAGTGACTGGGCCTCAAGGGCCCTGGGGTCCGTGTGGCCCCGGGTGCCTCCCCCAGCCTCCCCCAGCGCGCCCGCATCAGGAAGGGACCGAGACACTTAAAATAGCGCAGGGCGAGAGGTGCCCGCGAGCAAAGTGCTTGTCTGTGTCCGGGAGAGCGCGTGCGACAGAGACATGGCACACGGCAGGTGGGGGCCGGGCAGCTTCTGGGGTGACAGATTCCCCACCCCCACTGTCCGGTGCAGTGTGGCTTCCCGTGGCTCAAACCCACCAGACCATACCCGCCAAGGGGGCAGGCTGCTCATGCAGGGGAGGCCCGGGGATGGCTGTTTGTAGGAACGCAGGCTGCTGGCGAACGCTGCTGTCGCTCAGGTGCAGGACGGTGGGGACAAGAGGGCCGTGACGTGGGCAGGCCGTCGTGTCTTACCTGGCGGGTGGTCGCAGGCCTGGCCAACGGGGGGTGTGGCACCATATACGAGGTCGAACGGGCCCCACGCTTCCACCTGCCAGAGACGGGCACACTGCCGATGGCCACGCGGGACAGCCCTGTCCTGCCACATGCTCGTGCAGCCCAAGTGCCCCCACAGCAGCGGGCCCCCCGTGTGTCCCGGTGGGTGGCTTGTGATGGGGTTGAGACCCCACAGGGCCCCGGTGGGACAGTGAGGCCCACCAGGTCAGACCTGCCACAGTGGCTTTTGGTGGTCCCGGCCTCAGGGACACACGGAGCCCAGCCTCTGTCCTCTGAGGAGTGGCCAGCACCCTGCAGGGCATGTGGGGTCTGAGGTGACCCCTCTGCGTCTTACAGAACCGCCCCAGGAAGGTCAGCACAGTGACTGGCTGGGATTCACACGGATTCTGTGTGCGCCCCTGACGCGATAGCCGGTGGCCGGGAGCTGACCGCTGGCCACCACCTGCCCCGCCAGCCATCAGGAGCCGTCAGCCGGCCATGCAGGCCCAGGAAAAAGACAAAATCCATCCCAACTCATACCCGGGCAGACAACAGAGGACGCTCTTCAACCACAGGGACCCAAGCACCCCTCTCCGGGGGCCCGAGGGATTCCCGCTAATGACAGTTCTAGGCCCTGTCATTCTATTAAATAAAGAAATTAATAAGAGACCCAGATACCTGACGACTGGTTTTCTGACAACCCCAAGCTGCTAACCAAGAGCCCACATCCCATGATATGCCCCTAATCCTTGCATCCCCTCCAGCCGGTCCCCGTGTCCCCCCCAGGGCTAATAACATGCAGTGTGCCCCTGGGGGCGTCTGGCCGCTGGGCTCAGGGTCGGCAGGGTCATCTGCACAGAAGAGAGGGCGTCAGGGGGAGAAGCCGAGCGTGGCTGACGGTCCCAACAGTCAGCTGCTCGTCCCCGGAACCTGGGGCAGCAAAGTTTTGCACAGAGAAAAACCGAGTCTAAGCGAGGACCTCCAGGTCCCCCACAGCTGCCGGCCCCCCTCCAGCCTGGACCAGAGCCGTCCGGGACAGCCGCAGCAGGTGCAGGGGCGGACCGCTGCTCCCCACCTCTAGGAGGGGCTGCCAACAGCGTGGCCTGCGTCACGGGCCTCGCGAAAGGAAGTGAGCCCGGAGGGGCGGTGTGGGCGCTGAGGGACGCCACGCACCCCTGAGCTGGGCTTGCTGGAACAGGTGTCCCCAGGGCTACGGAGAGAACACAGGTTTCCAGTACTGCATCAGGAACGCTGCCACACGTCACTGATCGCAGGTGTCACGGGACTACCGATGAGGCTTGCCACAGAAGATGGGTGTCCCGCCTTGTTCCCAACCGCGGGGAAGGCGGGTGTCCGCGAGCTTAGCTGAGGGGCAGGGAGATGCCCTGGGCAAGGGAGGCCTCGTGTCACCCGCCTGTCCCACACCCTGTCTTACCCTTGAGGGATGACCTTGCCCTGGGGTCTGGGAGAAGCATTATGCAGGGATGGGCTCCAGAAAGGCCCCACGAGGGGTCGTCTAAAAGGGATGAGGTGAGGGCAGACGGGGGGTCTTGGAGGAGGCCCATGGGCATGGCGTTTAAGGGTGTGGGGCTCAGGTGTGCCCCACAAAGACACGGCACCAGCTTTGGGGCAGGAGGGCCCGGGGTGTGACAAGGCTGCCCGGCTTTCCCAGGCGCAGCCAGAGAGGAGGGCCAGCCCCTCGGACCACCGGCTCCGGGCCTGACAGGGGGCAGAGCCATGGGGCAGGGACAGCACAACCCCACGCAGGCCCCTCCTCGTGGCTGGCCGCCCCCTTCAGCAGCCGGCACTCCCGGCCCAGACGCCCTGACCACGGCTGGTGGCTCTCAGCCCCCTCTCCTGCGCCAGAGACCGACAGACCAGGTCCTCCTGCCCCGGGGCCACCAGGGGAGGCTGCCCAGCCCCCGCCCCTCAGCCGCAAAGGGCTGCTGGCCTAGCCGGGGCCTCCTGAGTCATCTCAAGGCACTTCCTCCCAGGCCGCTGTCCCAGCCAGCAAGAGACAGCCTTCGAGGGAGCCAGAACATTCCGTTGTTGTGTTTGGAGAGTGCCCCCAGCGATGAGCTGCTGGGTTCCAGACTTTCTTTGAGACCCCGGGCGGGGCTGGAGCCTGCTGTCTGGGCCGCGCTGTCCCCGGTGCCAGGAGTGGCCCCTGGGATCTCCACACCTTGGTGGGGACGTCAGGCCCACGGCTCTGCTCTGGGCTGTGGGCAGCGTGGGGCCCACAAACACGGTCCTCTCCTCTCTCCCCTGCCTCCGGGTGCCATCCCTGCCACCCCCCGCCCCCCACCCCCGGATCTCCCACACACCTGCGCTCGTCCTGGCACCCGGGGGCACGCAGCAGCACTTACGTCCTTCCTCACGACATCTGTGACATCGTCCAGGTGCCTCAGTCCCCCCGGGGTAGAGCCGCTCTCCAGGAAGCCCAGACTCACGAGCTCTGCGTGGGGAGACATGAGGAGGGCTCGGAAAGGCCGGTGCGTGGCCCCCGCAGTACAAAACGGCCAACGGCTGATCCGAAACCACGAGCAAACGCTCGCTGGTTCACGAGCTGACGGGGCTGAGGACGACGCTGTGTGCGACGTCACACGCCAAGCCAGCAAAGCCCCCGGGTGCTGATTTAAGAAACTCAAGGGATTGTTGCAAAACCAGGCCTTCTGGGGCTGTGGTGTCAGGCTCTGGGTTAGGAAACCCGCCAGGCCGTGGTGTTCCGGCGGATGTCACCCGGCCAGGCTGTGGGACGCGTGGGCGTGGTGGCGGGAGCCCTCGGCCTGCGGCTGGGAAGAGTCATCCAGAGAGGACCTCACTGACTAGACCAAGGGAAGCAGCCTCGGGGTGGGGAGGCCGGGGCGGTGACTCCTGGCTCCTTCTGCCGGCCGCTGCCCGCTCTGGCCGCAGGCCCCTGGTCCACAGCATGCCCACAGGCCGCCTTGGCCGCGGTGCGCAAGGCCCAGAGCCCAGAGCCCGGAATGGAATGAATGAATCCCCCAAATCCATTTGGCCAGAGACTAAGAAGTGGTTTTGTGGGTTCCTCTCATGTCTACTGCGCCCAGAAGAATCCAGAGGATTTCCAAAGGCACCAGCAGGTGGGGGTCAGTGAGGGGCCCAGGGGGCAGGGGCAGGACCCCCAGCAAGGCTGGAAGGCATCACGTGGCTGGCAAGCTGGGGGTCTGTGTAGAGAGGGAGAGGTGGGCAGCCCTGTGGGGCAGTCAGGCACGTGGCGAAGTCTGGAATGGACTTCGTGTTCGGTGGCCGTGGGCGGGCCGCGGCTGGTGGGGCCCTCTAGGAGGACCGCCTGGGCCCACGGCCCCACTTCGAGACATTTCGCACCCACGCTTGCTTCCTGCGTGTTGGCTCCCAGGAGGGAGCCCCGGGCTCCTCTCCCACCCTGCCCGCCCGCCTGCCGCCCAACCCTCAGGGAACATTCTTGGGTCCGTCCCCAGGGCAGGACCCACAGGCCTCACTACACTCACCTCTCCTGATGTCCCCAAAGAGGGACAGCACCCGGACTGGCTCTCTCTTCCACACGGGCACCGTTTTATACGTCTCCAGCGAATTCTATTAAAAACACAATTCTCGAGGTGACGGCTGCAGAGCCCCTGAGGCACCAGGAAAAGTCTTTCTGGTCCTGCAGAGGCATTTCCCGACCGAGGGAGACACCCCTGAACGCACCTCCAGGCCAGACTGGCCCTGCCCCCACCCCCAGGTGGCCTCCCAGGCTGAGGTCTCTAGCCCTGACCGCCGCCGGGTCATCTCCAGCGTGGAGAAGGCAGGAGCGAGGGACTTTTCCTGATGGTGGAGGAAGGAAAGTGGATCCTGAGAGGAAGCACTTCCTCTGGGCTTCTTGGGGGATCCTGAGTTGGTACGACAGTGGGATTCCCCGTCCTTCCCCATGTGGGCTCTCCATGTGGTCCCCAAGCCACGGGGCAGCTCTGTGAGCTCCCAGCTGAGGACAAAGGACAGGAGAGCTTGAGGAGGACACCCACCTGCCCCTTCCAGGACGCCCACTTGTGCATCAAACATCCCAGAGCCCCTGCCTCCAGGAGGATGCACTTGGGGGTTCCTGGTGTCCCACGAACAAGGCATCAAGCTGCCATCTGGCAGAGCCCAGGCCTGAGGAGGTGACCCCGAGCCATACAGGGAAGGGTCTGCCTGGGGCTGGAGCCGATGGGTGGGGGCTGGCGAGTTCGGAGGTGTGTGTGAGGAGGGCAGTGGCTCTGATGGACCCTGGGGGCGTCCTGGTCCCCTTCTGCAGCTGTGGCGGTGGGGAGCTCCTTCCTCCTGCCCCCACCCAGCCTGACACCACTTCTGACACCAACTTCATTTCCTTTCCGAGGGGAACTTCCCGCAGCTGACAAGCGTGGTGTCTGCCTGCACGGGGACGGACTGCACTGATGGGTGGGAAGAAAGTTCTACTAGGATCGCGTGCACTTCTGTTTCCAAGAAGCACCATAAGGCCCGTCAGGCATGGAGCACAAGCTGTCCATTCTCCCGGGCAGTGCCAGGTGCCTGACAGGCCCACCCTGTGCCCAGGTGACCAGCAAGGAGGTGCGGGTGTTCCCAGAACTGTTGTGGCCAAGCAACTGGGTAAGGGTGCCCCGGGGCCAGCACCAGGTCGCAGGATAGAGGGGAGCCCGCGGAGGGAGGGAAGCACCCCAGGGTCGGCACACGCTCTCTCCCAGCCTGCTGGCACCCCCAGCCCTGCCCGTGAGACAGTGGCTCTGGCACATCCTGGGGGGCGGTGGGCAGCCCCGTCACCCCACCTGCTTCCCACCACCCAGAAAGCCCACTCCACGGAGCTGGGGGTCTGCCCTCTTCCCACGTCCACGGGGTGAGTCCTGCTGGGTGAGAAGTCTTTGCCCAACCTCCAGAAGGAGCCGGAGGCTGGAGGGGCCCGAGGCTGGGGGGGAGCCCGAGGCTGGGGGAAGCCGGAGGCTGGGGGGGAGCCCGAGGCTGGGGGGAGCCCGAGGCTGGGGGAAGCCGGAGGGTGGTGGGGAGCCCGAGGCTGCGGGGAGCCCGGGGCGGGGGGGGGCCCCAGGGTGGGGGGTAGCCCGAGGCTGGGGGAGAGCCCGAGGCTGGGGGAGCTGGAGGGGGTACCCGGTTTTGGCAGATCTGGGTGTGGGTCGCTTGCTGTCCCTGCCTGCTCCCCCAGAGCGACCACGCTTCCGTCCTAGCTTCCTGGGGCTGCCGTAACACGAAATACAAGCTATGGCCTAAAACCACTCCTGTGTGTTTGCTCTGGAGACCCAGAAACCCCAAGTCCGGGTGCAGCTGGTCTGGCTCCTTCCGGGGACTCTGAGGGAGGTCCTCCTGCCCAACATCCCTGTGCCGGCAAGAGCTCCGGCTGGCAGACGGTCCCTCCCACCGCTCACCTGTGGTCACGTGGCTGGCTTCCCTCTGGGTGTCTCCATCCCTGTCTCCTATGACACCTGTCACTGCCTTGCTGGGGCTCCCTAAGCAGGATGATCTTGCCCGGAGACCCGGAGCTAAGTTGCACCCACAGAGACCCCAGTTCCAACATCGGCCCCCGTCCCAGGAACCTCGGGCTAGGACTTGGAAGATGTAGCTCAACTCACTCGGATGAACCCACAGCTCCTGCCTAGCTCACAGCTCCTGGCCTCCACCCTCGAGAGGTCCCGCGTCCATGCCCTGTGTCCGTGACCCGTCTGTGCCCCACTGCGCTCTGTCCCTGCCTATGCCTGCTGCCTCGGGGTTTGCTCCCATTTGCCAGACTCTGCTGAGCCCCAGCCCCACCTGCCGCGAATGCTCACTCCCTGCTTGGCAGAAGCGCGACCTCCAAACCCCGGGGCTCCCCCGCCTCGTGGGGCACGCCCTCAGGGAGGAAAATGAGGCAACAGCATTTGCTTCGAGCCTGTTTCATCATCGGCTCTCAGAGCCACTAGCAGCAGAGAAACGTGACAGTCAGGGCCCTGCGCTTCGCCATCAGTCCTGGAAGCCCAGTCCCCAGCCTCCCCCGGCCCCCCTCCCCCCACCCCCGCCCCCGCCCCCTCGCTGCCCCTCACCGACTCCCGGTCACAGAAGGCCTTCAGCCCACCCCGCCACTTCTGCCGCCTCTGCAGGAGCCCGCTGCGGGGGAAGGGCAGGCACAGGAAGCACACCCAGTTGCTCATGGCCTGCGCCCTCCCCGACGTCCCGGGGCCCACCAGCGTGTCCACACACTCGAAGCAGTAGCATCTAGAGTCAAACGGTCACGGTCATGGACGCGGCCTTCCCTCGGCCACCGGGCAGCTGGGAGCCGGCTCTGGCTTCGGAGCGAGGGAGAAGCCACCCTCATGCTCCTGGGGGGGCAGGGGTGAGAATAAGCCGACCCCCGGAACGGGGCCCAGTCCCTCCCAGGAACCCAGAGTGAAGACAGCGGTGTGGGGGTGATCTGCGATTTTCCGGCAGATTCCGCAGAATCCGCTCTGGTCGCGGGAAGTCAGGGTCTCGCAGTCAAGCCGAGGGCGAGGACACCAGCCGGAAGTGGGAGGGAGACGGAAGTACAGTGGCCCAGGGGAGGACCGCAGCTGGGGCGCGTGCGGCCCTGCCTGGCCCCGAGCCTGACCGCCTGTCCCCAGGGAGCGGGTGTGCGTCACTTCCCCGCGCATGACTGAGGTTGCCGCATGCCTTGGCTCTGACAACAGTGAGGAGAAAACTCGGGGACGCAAATCTCCTAACACCCCACCGCCCCCACGTCAAGGCTCCACACCATACAAGACACTGGGCTGGAGATGGAAATCGTCTTGGGGGCACGTCCCCCACTCTCTGGCTGAGGCACCCAGAGGCTGGGCGAGCCCTAGATGGTGGGCAGGGGCTCACCGTCCCGCCTTCCCAACGGCTCTGGGCGCCCCCCATGCCGAGGCCCCCTACGGCACTGAGGTCCTACTGCCCTCCCAGCAACCCCCCACCGGGGCTGAGCCCCACCCCCGCTCCGAGCCACCTGCTGCACAGAGGCCCCCCTCTCCGGGCTGAGCACCCCTCTGAGCCCCCCCCAGAGCCACACCCCCTCGCTGAGTCCCGCCCCCCCGAACCCCAGGGCTGAGCCCCCACATACACACAAAGCCCCCCCCACCTCCTCCGCCCCCTGCCCCGCTGAGCCCCGCAACCAGCCACACCGGGTGCAGTCGGGGTTCTCACAGATGAGCAAGGTCTCCCCAGCGCAGCAGATGGAGCAGTAGGACTGGTACCCGTCATCGTCGTACAGGAAGAGACAGTCCAGAAACTTGTCCTTGGAGAGGGCAGAGCTGGGCTGGCACCTCCCCGGCCCCAAGGCCCCCAGCAAGGCCCCCCTCGGCTCCCCGCTTACCTTGCAGGGGGCGCACATGCCGCCCTCAAACAGCGGGTGCTGCGTGTGCACCCGGAAGCTCCCGCAGCAGATGCACACGTCTGAGCGCACGGGGTTGCAGCGGGGGTCGTGGCACCGGCAAACGAGCGACACACTTAGCAACGGCGGAACACAAGGAGGGCAAGGCCTGCGCACGGACAGGAGCCCCTGCTCCCGGATCGGGGGGACTCGGCCTGGTCACTGGGCCGGGTCGCCCCTGCCGGTGCACACACCCCTCTGAGAGTCCCAGCTGGCTTTTCTGGTTTGGGTTCTTTTGTTTGCAAAGATTGATAAACGGACCCTAAAATGCATATGGAGGGTGTGGGTGGCTCCTTGGGTCAGCGACTGACTCCTGATTTTGGCTTGGGTTGGGTCACGACCTCAAAGTGACCTGCCTCGGGCTGTGTGCTGGGCACCGGTGGGCTTCAGATTCTCTCTCCTTCCATCTGCCCCTCCTCCCTACCCCCCACCCCCCACACGTGTGCTCGCTCTCTCCAACGAACAAATCTTTAGAAAATGCATATGGAAACCCAAGGGATGAAAAACGGGCAAATCCACAGAGAAACACAGAAAAACAAAGAAGATTCACCGTTGCCTAACGCTGGAAAGGGGAGGCAGTACCCCAGGTGGGGTCCTGGGTTTCTTTTTGGGGGAATGAAAAGTGAAGTGAACATCTCCACTGTGGGGAAGGTTGCGTAACTCCGGGACTGTACTGGGAGACACTGGAATGGAGATTTGGGGCCCTGGGGTGGGTGCGGGGAGAGGAGCAGGACCCCTACAACGGCCACGGCCTTCTCCATGACGCTGAGCAAGGCTGGCCGCAGCTGGCTGACCTTGCCCTCTACCCCCGCCAGGGCTCACCTTCTATGTCTCTCTGGTTCACCCTGACTTCATACGCAAGAAGCTCTGAAAAATGAAACAAGAAGGGGACCGTTCCCTCTCCTGCCTTCTTCTCATGTAAACGTGGCCACGTGTCACAGGGTGACCTGATCTCACGGGAACTGAGGGGCGGCGGGGGAGGGGGTGCCATGTATGTGAATATTCCAGAAGCCTGGCACCGTAGACATGGCCCAGGCCTGGGGCTGGCACCCTCGGGGAGGGACCCGTCCTCGAATGAGCCCTCACCTCTGCAGGGCACAGGGGAAGCCGGCGGGGACAGCTCGCTGGAGCCCACCAGGATGACATCCATGCTCTGCTCCATGTCCGACTCCAGGACTGGGACAACCACATGGAGACCCCGCCGGGAGACAGGACACGGACAGAGGGAGAAAACGGCGGGTGGGCCTCTGCCTGAGAACCCTGGCTCCCAGCACGGGGGCGCACCTGATCACCCAGCTTGGGCCCCCCCTACGGTGCTGCCTACCCCTCCTGACCCAGCACCTCCAGCCAGGAAGACCTGTGGGGAGCGCCAATCATGCCCCGAGGCCCAGTGTGTCCCCTGTGGGCTGTCCCTCCCGCCCAGGGCCCCCCACCACCTTGGAGGGCCCGGTGGGCTTCTCTCCACAAAGGGGAAGGCAGGGGGCCTGAGGTGGGCTGGAGGGCCCCAGGTCAACCCCAGGTGTGGGTCCCTCAGACACCCCCGTGCTCTCTCCTCCCATAGGGTCCCCCAGACCCCTTCCTGTGGTCTCCCCCGATGACACCCCCAGCGCAGGAGGCCGGGAGCAGTAGGAAGGGCTCACGGATTTCGCAGGTAGCCTGCCACGGCTCCTCCTCGGGGGACAGCTCCGGGTCGGAGCGGCCCAGGGCCTCCACACTTGGGGTCCCCTCAGGCGAGAGAGCCATGACACCGTGACGGGGGCTTCCCAGAAAACGCCTGCAGTCGAACAACTGGGGGCCAGGGGTGTGGACCGGCAGGAGAGTACTGGGGTGGGGGTTGCGCAGGGCTCCCACGTGACGCCTGACGTGCGGGGGGGGGGGGGGGGGGGGGGGGGGGGGGGGGGGGGGGGGGGGGGGCGGGGATGGCGCTGCGGAGGGGTGTGGAAACCCTCACTGCCAGGGGGTACTGGGTGGAAGGGTGAAGGGCTCATGCGGGGCACTCATACTGGGTGGAGGTTTGGGGGTGCGTGGGGGAGGGGGGAGGACCGCCCTCAGGATGGGTGGGGTTAAGAGCCCACTTCTGTGAGGAGGTTTAGGGTGTGGGAGGAGGGGGGCGGAGTTGGGGGGCAGCTAGTGAGCTGGGTGGGGGAGGGGTGCTGGGGGCGGGGCTTAGGGGCTCAGTGCTCCGAGCGGGGTGGAGGCGGGGCTCTCGCAGGGTAGGGCAGGAGGGGCAAGTGTCAGGGTGAGGGAGTTCTCTGCTGGCTTGGGTAGCTGGGGGGTGGCTTCCAGAGCGGGGCTGAGGAAAAAGGAGCCAGGGGCATTTACTGCGGGTGGGATGGGCCCAGGGACAGTGGGTGGGGGGCTGTGGTTGGGAAGGGGACACCTTTGAGCCCTCCTGGGGACTCCGCAGGGGCCCAGCCTCAGGACGGTTACAGGGCTGGGCAGATGTTGGGGTGATACCAGGGGAGGGGTAGTAACTCCCTTTCCCCCAGCTTGGATGTGGGCCCAGTGACTTTCCGGTGAAAAGTGCAGAATGGTGGGGGGGGTAATTCTGCACGGACCCCCGCCTCTGCTGGGTGACCCGGCTTGACTTCCTCAGTGACAAGGAGGGCACTCCTGCTCTGGGGTCTTCCTCCCAACAGCCCACGAGCTCTAATCTCTCGACCCATGAGAACATCCGCGGAAGATTCCAGTAGAGGGACTTCCTGCAAGGTCCCGCCCAGGCGTTCTCCAAACCGCCAAGGTCCTGAGCAGAGGCTAAGGTCGTCCACAACACGGTCACAGCCAAGAGGAGCCCAGGGAGACCTGCGACTGAAATGTCCCGCGGGGTCTTGGGAGGGAAAAGGACGGGAGGGAAATGGGAGGAAACAGGAGTGCACCGCGGCCAGTTAGCGTGGGTGACGGTGTGTCAGCGGCGCTCGTCGGTGGGGACAGACCTCCACCTGCCAGGCTGTCGCCCGATGACAGAGGATAACGGGGCAGCTGTGCAGTCTGTGGGAAGCTGGGACTTCGAGCTCGGCAACCTGACTGTAAACGTAAAAGTACAGAACTTGCTGGAATTATTACTGTTGTTTTACGACGCAGTGTCGTCAGCTGTCGTCCCCGCGGTGCGTTATGTTCTCAGGACTTGCTTATTTTGTACCCCGGACAGTGTGTCTTTTGGCCACCTCCACCCAGCTCGTCACTGACCCCTCGTCCTCCCCCTCCAGCGACCACCAGCCCGTTCTCTGCGGCCCTGAGCGCAGGGTGTGTGTGTGCGTGTGCGTGTGGCTGTGTGCGTTTCGATTCCACACCTAAGAGAGCTCGTATGGGGAAGGCAATTACAGGGTTTCATTCCTATGTAGAATTTAAGAAACAAAACAGAGGAACGCAGGGGAAGAGAAGGGAAGGGGAAATAAACTTAAGACCAAAACAGAGAGAGAGGCAACTCGTAAGAGATGCTAAACTCTGGAAATAATCAACGTCGCCAGAGGGGAGGGGGCGGGGGGGGGTGACTGGGGGACGGGCAGGAAGGAGGGCTGGATGGGACGGGAGCTGGGTGTTGTACGCCGCTGACGAGTCACCGAACTCTACCTCCGAAACTAGTTAATACACTCTGTGCTAATTGAATTTAAATAAATTTAGATAATACGAAAAAGAGGTCATATGGGGTTTGTCTTTCTGTCTGACTTAACTCACTCGGCATAATGTCCTCAAGGTCCTTCCACGTTGCAAATGGCAAGATTTCCTTCTTTTTAGGGCACACGGTAGCCCTGTCCGCACGCCGTGTGTTTTCTCTCCATCCTCCCACCAACACTTAGGTGGTTTCCAGGTCTGGGCTGTTGCGCACCGTGCCGCAGTGAGCACGGGGGTGCACGTCGCTTTTTGAGTCAGTGTTTTTGTTTTCTTTCGATTGCTGAAGTGCGATTGCTGGGTCGTAGGGCAGCTCTGTTCTCAACTTTTTGAGGACCCTCCACACTGTTTTCTAGAGCGGCTGCCCCAGCTTGCGTTCCCGCCAGCAAGAGGAGGGCTCCCCTTTCTCCGCATCCTTGTCTTTTTGATCCTAGCCACGCTAACAGGTGCGAGGAGGTCTCACTGTGGTTTTGATTTGCATTTCCCTGATTCGTGATAGTGAGCACCTTTTCATGTGCCTGCGGGACATCTGTCGGTCTTGTTTGGGTAAAAGAGGCGCTATGCAGATCTGCCGCCCGTTTTTCAGTAGGATTGCTTGTTTTACGGGTAGTGTACTGTTGTGTCCCTCGTCTGTTTTGAACATTGACGCCTTATCAGATAGGAAACTTACAAATTTGGAGTTTTAAGGTTTCGGTTCTTAACGTTCAAGTCTTTAACCCGTGTTTGAGTTTATTGTTCTGTGTGGTGGAAGAAAGTGGCCCTGTTTAATTCTTTTGCATGAGGCTGACCAGTGTCCCCAACATCATTGATAAGAGAGACTGTCCTTTTCCCGTTGTAAATTCTTGGCTCCTTGGTATAAATTAATTGGCCACACACCCACGGGTTTACTTCTGGGCTGTCTGTCCTACGTGTGTCTGCCGATCTGCGTATCTGTTTTATGTGGCCTCGCACCGTTTTAAATATCACAGCTCCACGATACAGTTTGAAATCAGGAAACACAACGTTTGCAGCTTTGTTCTTCCTCCAGATTGCTCTAGCCATGTGGGGTCCGTTCTGTTTCCATACACATTTTGGGATAGTTTGTTCTATTTCTGTGAAAAATGGCTATCGGAGTTCTGCCAGGGGTGGCACAGGGTGGGTAGACTGCTTTGGGTAACGTGGACATTATAATAATATTAGTTACGCGAACACAGGATATTTAAGATACCCTTATAAATAGTTAAAAGTATTTCTTCTAAAATTGTTTATTTTTGACTTTTAACATTTTTTTAAAGATTTATTTATTTATTTTAGAGAGCGCGAGAGCACGGGCGGGGGCTGCAGAGGGAGAGGGAGAGAGAGAAGCCGAGCAGACTCCCCACTGAGCGTGGAGCCCCAGGCGAAGCCCAACGCGGAGCCCGACACGGAGCCCGACTCAGGCTCCATCCCACGACCCTGGGATCATGACCTGAGCTGAAACTGGAAGTTGGACCCCTAACCGACGGTGCCACCCAAGTGCCCCCGGTTTTTTTAATTTTAAATTTAATTTTTTGCAGTGGAACCGTCTCTGTTGCTCTCCCCTCCTCTCCTTAGCTTGGTTTGGGTGTCATTTAGCAAGGACACCGGGGACGAGATCATCACAGGGACGCTGGGCCCCAGCGTCGCTGCTGAGCCTCCGGGCCTATTCACCTTGTTCTAGAGTCTGGAGGATGCCGGGCTCCTTGCGGGGCTGCAGGGGCCGTTCTGGCTTCATGGAAGGGACCGTGTTCTTGCTGTGGGGCTCACGCGGCAGGAAGAGCATCTGGGGGGTGGCAGGATCCGCCGGTCCTCCCCGTGTGGGGCGGAGGCTCACAGAACGTTCTGCACGGGGTGGGGGACAAGTGCTGGTGTGGCCCCAGGATGCTCCCACGCAGTGGCCTTGCTGTCTGTCTGGGAGTCCCTGGGTACCCTATTGCAGCGGTCTGTAGGAGGCCACAGAGAGCAGGTGCCCTGGTGGTCTGGAGACAGACCCCAGAGGAGCTAGCCTCTTGGTGACCAGCTCAGGTCCTAATGCCATCCCCAGGACCAGACCATGAGATACTCGGGCTTCTCCTGCTGGCTGCGGGTGCCAGGCCTCTGGGGATCTCTGGACACCTGTTCTCGCCCGTGGAAACCCCAGGAAGCCTAACATCACACACGTGGAGAGTCCCTTGTGGGAGCAAAGGGCAGGACCTAAAATAGGCTCTGTCCACCTCCATGGGAATTACTGGATGAGCCCTGCCGGTGTACCCGGCCTCCTCCAGGCCCCACGGGGCCTGTTTCGAAGCTGTCCAGGTGAACCCTGGCCAGGCCTGGGTTCCCACAGCTGGGGCATCCGCGGGGGGCGCGGCGTGGGCGTGGGTCAGACACACCGACAGCCTTTGCAGGAGCCCCCACAGCCCCAGACCACGGAGGGCATGGGAGGAGGGCCCACGTGCCCGGGGGTCACTCTCAGGGGGCTGCCAACACCCTCTTCCGGCCGGACGTGTCACCCACAGCTTGATCCTGGCGGCAGTTGAGGGAGGACAGGGAAGTTGAGGTGCTTTCGGGCGTCGT